ATGCTTAGAAGACATATTCACACCTAGACTTACAGGTAACTCAGAGGTCCTAGGAACTCCTCTCCCCCCATTTCAGTAGCGACATTTTCATTTTTAATAGGATGGAGCTCAGAGGTGCTTCTTAGTAGGTGGGCATACTTGGATGGATGTCTGCAAGCCTCCTGCCCTTCAGCAAGTGCTCAGAATAGCTCCATTAGCGTTCATGGAAATTCTGCACATGCATCAAGGAGAAAACAGCCACAAATAACACAGCCTGCTTTCCAAATCTCCAAAGCACATCTCTGCAATCATTTTACTTTCCAACTATCACCACTGAAGCCTTTTAGCCAGACAGCAATTTGTTCTCAACTTCCTCCAGGTTCCTAAGTTAGCTGAACTCTTTGGTTGTTTACAAGTGAGGCTTCCTACTTCCAATCTCTCTCCCTGCCCCAATTTCTCTTCCACGTAGGCTGTTTACACAAAATTGACCAGTTCCTGCTTGGAATCAATCCAAACACCTTCGCCTGATGCTCTAGGCCCTTCAAATCTGGCCCTGGCCCTTGCCTTCCTCTCCTACCTTATCTCCAGCTTCTCTCCTGCATGTATCCTCCACTTGAACCATTCAATTACCTTCCAGATATCTCCAATTCTGGGTCTTTCCATACTCTGCTTTCTCTGCCAGGCATGCACCTCAACTACCCAATTAACTACTTCTGCCCTTTACGACAGCACACAGGTATCACCGCCTCCAAGAAGCATTTCCTAATTGGATTAGATGGCTCTCCTGTATACCCACAACCATTCAACTATTCAGTAAATAGTTATGGAGACCTAATTTGCACCAGGCTCTGTTTGAGGTGCTGGTGATACAGCAGAAAACAAAATGAAGACTCTGCTTTTATGAAGCTTAAATTCTTGGGGGGCGGGGGAGGAAGAAAAAATAAATAGCAGGGTAGAGTATTATTAAAGAAGAGTTGGGGGCTGGCCCGGTGGCACACTGGAGAGTGCGCCACTTGGGAGTGTGGCGGCGCTCCCGCTGAGGGTTCGGATCCCATGTGGAGATCGGATCCCATGTGGAGACCAGTTCCCGCTCACTGGCTGAGCGCGGTGTGGGCGCAACACCGAGGGTTGCAATCCCGTTGCCAGTCAGTAAAAAAGGACAAAAAGGAAAAAAAAAAAAAAAGAAGAAGAAGAGTTGGAAGGGAGTGCTATTTTATTTAGGGTAGTCAGTGAAGGCCTTTCTGATAAGGGAAACAGAGACCTGAATCAAGTGAGGACAGGAACATGCAAATATTTGGGTAAAGAGCATTGCAATCAGGACAGTAAGTGCAAAGGCCCTGAGGCAGGAGCATACTTGGTATGTGTGTGCAAAACAGTAAAGGAACCAGTGGGACCACAGAGGCATGAGAAAGGGAGAGAACGTTAGGAAATGAGGTCAAAGAGTCAGCTAAGAGCCAGATCATGTTGGGCCTTGTAGGACATGGTAAGGGCTTGGGATTTTACACCAAGTAAAATGGAAGCCACTGCAAGGTTTTGAGCAGAGAAGAGATATATTTTGTTTTACATTTTAAAAGGCTTGTTCTGGCTACTCTCTGGTTAATAGGCTAAGGGGGAACAAGGAAGAACACAGACTGGACATCCATTAACTCCACAAGTATTTATCAGCTACAATGCTAGACAAGCACTGTTCTAGGCACTGACAATACCCAGCGAGTAAGACGGGATCTCTGATTTCAAGGAGGTTACAATCTAGTGGAGAGACAGAATCATAAGCATACCCATAGAACACGTGCATACATACAGAACAGTATACAGGGTATTATGGCAGGGCCAAGGAAGGAATTAGGTAGAGTAGCATTCCAGAAAGGGAAAATGGCACATGAAAATGCTCAGATGCTTCATGAAACCTGATGTGGTGAACTACAAGCAGTCTAGAGAATATGGAGGGACAAGTTTGGGGCAGGGATTAGAAAGAGGTAAGAATGGAGAGGAAGACAGGCAGGGGCTGATTACAGATAGCCTTGCAAACCAACATTAAGGTGCTTATATTTTATCCTATAGGTGATAGGAATTTACCAATGGTTTTTTTTTTTTTTTCCTTTTTGTCTTTTTTCGTGACCGGCAACGGATTGCAACCCTCAGTGTTGTGCCCATCCCGGACCGGGACCGGCAACGGGATCGCAACCCTCGGTGTCGCGCCCGCACCTCGCTCAGCCAGTGAGCGGCCGGTCCGTATGTGGGATCCGAACCCTCGGCGGGAGCGCCGCTGCGCTCCCAAGCGGTACACTGTAGTAGTGCGCCACCGGGCCGGCCCCTACCAATGGGTTTTAATGGGGGAATGACCGTGGGATTTCCAGTTTTAATATGTCATTTTTTAAATAGTGTATGGAGGTGAATTTAAAGAGGGTAATACTGGAGGCAGAGGGGCCTGTTAAGAGGCCATATAGTCATCTGGGCAAGAGAGGATAAAGTCTTGAAGTGATACTAGAGATGGAGAAGAGGCAGGGGATTCTAAATGTAATTGGGAAGTCAAACCATCAGAACCTGTTTGGCTGAGAGTGGGAGACGTGGGGTGCAAGCTGATCCCCTGGGTTCCTGGCTGGAGGCCTAGGTTGCCAGTATTGCCAACTGAGAGAAGACATGTTACATCTTAGATGTCCATGGGACATCTAGTAGATATCATCTGAAACTCAGGGGACATGTCTGGGCTGAAGATACAAACTGGAATGTCATCAGCATTCAAGCAATGATGCTTGAAAAATATAAGAGTGGACAAAATCAACCAGTGAGACTGTATACAGTCAAAAAGACCTAGGTTTTCAATCTTAGATCTTTCATTCACTATCTGTGTGACTTAAGTAAGTTCCTACACCTTTCTCAGCCTCACTTTACTCATCTTTAATTAGGCATTTTCTTTTTGTAAAATGTTTACCACAGTGCTGGGCACATGGTAAGTGCTCAATTATTCTAGTTCCAGTAGTCACTACAGCGGTGGGAAACTGGACAATATACCTCTGCTTGGTGAGCCTCAGGGTCTTATCTGTAGCTACTGCTTAGCATCCACTGTGCCCCATAGAATGGGTGCTCAGTAAATGGATGCTGGATAAATGAATGAATCTAAAAACTGAAACAAAACCCACCTAATATAATAGGTGGGAAAATTAAACAGGATTAAAAAAAAACTATATAAAAACCCATGTAGGGCCGGCCCGTGGCTCACTCGGTAGAGTGCGGTGCTGATGACACCAAGGCCCCGGGTTCGGATCCCATATAGGGATGGCCGGTTGGCTCACGGGCTGAGCGTG